TTTCGGGTGAGAAGGGGGAGAACAAGCAAGAGGAAGAAAATGAGAGTTAGGGTTTCGGGAGCGGAGCCGCACGAGGTCAAGGGCAACGTCGCAAGGCTGCTCGACGGCGGCGCACTCAGCCTCAGGCGAGCACGCTCACCGGCGAGGGGAACCGTGGCAGCGCCACCACTTTTTTTTCCTCTGGTCGCCACGGGCGGCCACCACCGGCTCTCTGTCGCCTCTACGACGAAGAGGAGAAGAGAGGGGAGAGAAAGAACTCGAATGAGTTAGGGTTAGGGTTCACGGCCGCCGCGCGGAGTTTTGATCTCATGAACAAGGAGCGCGGACGACCGTCGGATGGTTGTGGACGGCTCAGATCACTCGGACCGAAATCAGCCCATGCGGGCGAGGCAAATCCTGGCCCAAGCCCAGGTTGTGGCCTAGGACGCGGCGCGAGCGGCCGCCGTAGGCCGATTTTGCATGCTAGGCCGACGGTAGAGCGCGCAAAGAAGATCATTAGGGCATGGCTGCTACTGGCCAGCCGTAAGCTTCTTGCTGCTGCTGGAGAGAGATGGGCCACAGGCCGGTTTTTCCCAGGCCAGGCCTAATGAACAGTAAACATAGACTTTTGTTTTATTTATTTTTAGAAGCGAATTTTGTTGAATTTTGATTAGTTTTTCATCTCTATTCAATTTTGAACCAACGGGATAAATTGTTCATACAGTAGATGAGTACAATGAGATGCTTCTGAAAAGTAGATAAACAAATTTTTTATGGTTCCGCTGCAAAGTTTAATGTTGATTATCTTCTAATTAAATTCGAATCAACGGGAGAATTTAATTTGAAGAACAGTTATATTTAGTAAATTATGATTATGTTTATCCTCTAATTAAATTGGAACCAACGGAAAAATTTAAATTAGAGGAGTAATACGTTTTGTTTAAGTAAGATTGTGGTATTGTCATTTTCTGACCAACGTTGATGATGACAATATTATAATGAATTTAAGTTTAAAGTTTAAATCTCTGATAAATTTTACACCAACGTGGTTAATTTTTCAGATAGTAGATAATGATCAAAAAATGCTCCTGAACTAAAAGAATGTATTTCATTATCAAGTTTCGGCTGTAATGATGTTGATTATCTTCTAATTAAATTCGAACCAATAGGAGAATTTTAATTTTGAAGAGTAGTTATATGTATTTAAAGTTGATTTATGAGTTTTATGCATTAATTCTATTTTCTGCCCAACGGTAATGTAGAATTGATGCAGAAGCACCTTGTTTATTTAACCGATGAAATCACTCGGCTACATGTCAACGAGCTGCAATGCTAGGCTATGTGAATGAAAAGGCTTAAGTCAAACCAGTTCAGGACTGTTTTTTTGTTAGTTTATTAATTTTCTAATTAAATTAGAACCGATGGAAAGATTTAATTGAAAAATAAAGTATAAGTGAATATTTTAGTCATCATGACTAAGTTTTGTATAGATTTATCCCGCATGGGGAGAAGTTTTGGCATAGTACTTATGCTAGTCAATCCTGCATGATGGGCGAAGTTTTGTGATGATTCACATGTTTTGTATCCCGCATAGCGAGAGAAGTTTGGGTAGCTCTTATGCTGTCCTAGTATTGACCGTGATACAATAGAAATGCATCGTCATGGTCAATACTAACCAAAAGATAACAAAAGATGCAAGCGTGACTTGCAAAAGTACAGCTAATGAAAGACCTCGTTGAGTTCTTAAGTGAAATAAGAAAAATGTACTCTGAACGGATCAAGAAATAACTTTGTTTACATGACATAATCATGTGAATGAAGTAAGTTATAAGTGTCTCCTCATTCACAGACTTTCTGAATAGTTCTCGAAATTATAGCAGTAAAGTTCATGTCATATTTCGAGGGAGGAAATATTAAGATCAATTAAGAAAAATACTCTTCATTAAAAATGAGATAAAGATCAATTAAGAAAGATACTCTTCATTAAGAGTGAGATAAAGATTAATTAAGATGAATACGACCGTTGGATGAGTACAACAGTCACAACAATGATACCCCTAAGCAGAGAAAAAGCTAAATTCCTAGACCTTTTAAAGTTCCCACAGAAAGATAGCGTAGTCAGCCTCAAAGATGTTAAGGTGGTGCTTAAAGCGCCATATGAGGTTTTAACAGATTAAACCCAAAAATAAGATATTTGAAGATACACCATCTTAAAAAAAGATAGGAAGATCTAGGGAAGCATAGTATGTAGAGACCTAAGACTTGAAGAGAAGAGGGACTGCGTGCCCACTCCAGTGACTCAAGAGCAATAAGTTTCTCAATACCTGTTGATGTTGTATGACTAATACAACACCTGTTGTTAGCTCTTAGAAGAAGATGAATAATTTAAACAAGGAACCTTGTAATACATGAGCATGTAGAATCAATTGCCTCTTGGCAATGAAGAGCAACAACAGCCACATATGAAAGTGCCAGTAGCTGAGGCCCCAGAAGGTCTCAAAGAATTAGTAAACCAGTTTTTCTGATAACTATGAAGTCTATGATAATAAAGAAATTCAAATAAAGGGTGATCCCACCTCATTTGAAAAAAGCCATGAGAAGCGTTTACTCATTTAAATGGCAAGTTATAGAAGTTGAAATGAATTCGATGAATACCAACGATGTTTGGGACTTAGAAGAAATTCCTAATTGAGCCAAAACAGAATGAATAGATTACGATGAGAGTTTTCTCTCCAGTCTCATGCAAGGATTCTTTTAGAATCATAATGGTGTTATTGGCACATTACGATTTAGAGTTACATCAGATGGATGTAAAGACGGCATTACTCAGTGGGGATTTGTATGAAAACGTTAACATGGCACAACCCAAAGGTTTTGTCGTGAAAGAAAAAGAATGTATGAGATGTCGTCTGTAGAAATCCATTTATGGGTTAAAAGTAAGTCTCTAGACAGTAGTATTTGAAGTTGATGAAAACAATAAGAAAGTTTGGGTTTTAAAGAAAATAAGAAGGACAATAGCGTTTATGCGAAGTTCAAGAATGAAAATTCATTTTTCACATCCTGTGAATAGATGACATTCTACTCACTAGTAATGATGTTAATCTGTCATTGGAGAAGAAGAAGTTTTGCCTTAAGTTTCAATGTGAATGATCTTGGTGAAGCGTCATTGATTCTAGGAATCGAAATTCAATGAGATAGAAGAAAATGGGGTATTAGAACTATCGCAAAGGCATACTTAGAAAAGATTCTAAAGAAATAAAGTATGCATGCGAGTAAATCTACGCCTGCTCCTATAGTCAATGGTAATAGATTTGAGAACTTTAAGTGTTCTAAGAACCGGTATGAGATCGATCAAATGAACATAGTTCCATATGCTTTAGGTGTTGAAAGCTTGATGAGTGCACAAGTACAAGTAAGAACTTACCCTGACGTAGTTTACGTATCCGGGATATTTTGGCAGAAGTCCAGTCCAGATATAGATCACCGGAATGGAGTTGAGAATGTCTTGCAATTTTATAAAGTATCATAGCCCTCATGCTGAGTAAGAAAGAATAAGTACTCTCAAATTATTGAGGGTATAAATGTTAAATCTTGGCGAGATGTATAGTGAAATTCACAGTAGTTGCAAACACTCGTAGTTGTAGTATTATTGTGGAAAAGCTCCAAAGAAACAATTGTGGTGTCATCAGTGATGCATAGCATAGTATAGCTTGACATGAGGCTTAAGGAACAGGCAAAAAGTGGTTAAGGGAATATGTACCCGGATTTAACAATGTTAGTCAACAGCAATAACCATTTAAAGTAAGTTAACTCCTAAGACAACATGTCAAGTGTGCTGCCAAACACATTGACACTAAGTTATATGTTGTAAAGGAGAAAATCTAGAATCATTTTGAAAGCATTGAGCACATAAGTACCGAGTAAGTACTTGTGGATCCGCTTACCAAAGGCTTACCACCCAGTGCGTTCAAAGAACACACAGTCAACATAGGTTTACGGGAAAACCTATGATTTCTGGATACTAAGGGCCTAGTTGAGTATTTGTTTCAAATCAGAGAGGTGCATTGTAGCTGTTAAATCTAATGGCAACTGACAATGACGATGAGGTACGTTCTATGCACTGCTCTATGATGGAATGGGAAAAAGAAAAAAAAGAAAGTTAAGTTTAAGTCATAAGGTGAGATCAAGGGAGAGAATGTTAGGTTGATCTCAACGACCAATTGGGCCCTTGATCCGCGCCCTGATCGGGGGCGCTCAGCCTTTCTACTGGCTGATGGGCCCCTATCGCGCAGCGCAATAAATAGAAGGTGGGGGCTAGGGCTCGACACACGAGGTTCACCGCAGCCGCTAGCGCCCCACCATGTCATAACCCTAGTCCGATCTAGAAGAGTGCGCTGTAAGCGACGGAAGCGTCATCGCCTTCACCGTCGCCACCTGACCGGGTCTGCACTGTTGCTACTTCATCGTCGGCGCCATGTTTGCGACCGGAGAATCGAGATGAGGTACATCACCAGGTCTCCTATCTAAGTTAAGCAATGTACCCACTGATCTGCGCCTAGAGGTTCCAGAATTTCTATCACTGTGATCCAAATCATGTGCTTTGTGGTTCATGCCCTGTTCACCATGTGCAACAAAAATTAACCTACCTTAAATCCTAGCTTACTTTGCAATTTTGTTCCTTGACTTCCTTGCAATTTTATCAGGTTACATCTTGTCTAATTTCTCCGATTCATGCCATGAGGCAATGAATACAACACGGAACTTCATGAGGAACAGTATAGACAGCCTAAGGCCCCGTTCGCGTGTCCTTAAACCCGGCTTGATCCGCTCCTTTTTTCATCCGGATCCGTGTTTTCCTCTCACAAATTCCTCCAGAATTCATCCAAACCATCCAAATTCCTCCAGAAACATACCATCCGAACGGGGCCTAAGTCATATTAGGACTAAGGACACAAGTTCCATCACACAATAATGTACTCATATATCTCAACAGCTCATGAAATGGTCTTTAGTTTTGGCAGTCACCAGAAATCTCCACAACTGCATTGCCCATTCTTGCAGTGATGAAATCTGTTGGCATCTCTGACAATGATAGTCCTGTTCCTAACTAAGGTCATGTACTTGATGGCAGTATGGCAGTCTCCACATACACGGATATTCTTCGTAACAAAAATGGTCTTATCCTCATTAAGACTGAGGACACCAAAAGCTATTGCTAGCTTTTCGCTATGGTAAAGAAGTGCCTTTTGCTTTTCCTCTTCCTCCAGATCTTGCAAAACAAAATTGGTGTCAGCCTGGTAGCCCAGTTTCTTAATGTCTACCAGGATATTATCAAGTTCGTGATATATGTCAGGTGAACATGGATGAGATTGGTCTCCACCAACAAATGCATGTAAGGAGCCGTTTATCTCGATCCAACTGCAGCCAGGACTCTTCTTAAAGCCCTTGACCTTCTGTATTATTCGAACTTCTGCTGCCTCATCAAATCTTCCAGCAGCACTGAATATGTTGGACAGCAGAACAAAGTTGCCAGTCCCCTCAGGTCCTAGTTTCTGGATCATCCTTGACACTTGCTTTCCTAAATCAATGTTCTTATGAATCCGGCAAGCTCCAAGCAAGGCTCCCCATACACGAACATCAGCTTTCAGTGGCATGCTCTGGATAAACTGATAGGCCTCATCAAGGAAACCACCTCTTGCCAAAAGATCAACCATGCATATATAGTGCTCCATCCTTGGAAGTATACCATACTTGTGTGTCATCGTATCAAACCAGTGCTTCCCTTCAGTCACAAGTCCAGAATGACTACACGCAGCTATTAGACAGATGAAGGTGACATCATCTGGTGCAAAACCTTGATTCTTCATACCTAGGAACAATGTAGTAGCTTCTTTCCCCAGTCCATGAATTCCATATCCTGCAATCATTGTATTCCATGATACAATATCCCGAGCTGGCATCTTGTCAAAAACCTGCCTGGACAGATCAATCCTTCCACATTTTGCATACATATCGATCAAAGAATTACATATAGAGGTTTCTAATGCAAGCCCACGGATTATGACAGAGCCATGACTGCACCTCCCATGCTGCAAAGCAGCCAGATGAGAACAAGCTGGGATCAGAGACACCATCGTCGCAATATCTGGCTGCACATTGCAGGCCTGCATCTTCTTAAAGACAAGAAATGCTTCCTCTGCCTTACCATTCTGCACATACCCTGACAAAAGTGCACCATAAGAGATTGTGTCCTTGATGGCAGTCTCATCAAAGAGCATCATTGCTTCGTTCATCAAGCCAGCCTTGGCATACATCGAGAGAAGCGAGTTGCCTGCAGTGAGATCAGCATGGATTCCAGATTTAGCAAGCAAAGCATGCAACTGTGTACCCATACGAAGATCAGCCAGGCTGGCACAGACCCTAAGGGCGCTTGCAACAGAGGTTGCGGAGAGAAAGCACAGTCCTTCTACCAGCATGTCCTTGAACAGATTGAAAGCTTCTGTCATTCTGTCACACAACACAAAGCCTCCAATAAGCGCGCTCCAAGTGACCTCATTCCTGATAGGCATGCCATGAAACACCCTGCAAGCATAAACCAAGTGCTTGCACTTGGCATACATATCCAGCAGCGCAGTTCCAATAAGCACTTGTTCCTCGTTTTGATCGAGATAGGCACGAAGGCAGTAGGCATGGACGCTTGTTCCTTGGAAGAGCGCCTCATGTTGGGCAAGAAGCGGAAGGAGGGAAACAAGCGTGGAGGCATTCGGCCTGAGGCCGCCACGGTCCTGCATGTCAAGGAAGTGGGCAATGGCATGATGGTACATGCCATGGTTTGCATAGCCCGCAAGCATGGCGTTCCATGCAACAACGTCCCTCGTGGGCATTTTGGCGAAGACGTTGGCTGCAGGGCCAAATCGGGCGCGCCTGATGTACAGGTCGATGAGGGCGGCGGAGACAAACAGGTCGGTATGGAGGCCCGCGGCAGCGGCGTGGGCGTGGATGGTGCGGCCAGCACGGAGGTCAGCAAGCGCGGAGCATGCCTTGAGGACGAAGGGAAAGGTGTACTTGTTGGGGGGCACGCGGAAGTAGAGCATAGAGCGGTAAAGGTCGATGGCGGCGTGGAAGGGGCCGCGCCAGGAGTAGGCGCGGATGAGCGCGTTGTAAACGCGAGCGTCCGGCGCGGGGATTCTGTCAAACACCTGGCGGGCAAGGGCCAGCTGCCCGCGGGCGATTTGCTGCTCCAGCTCCAGCTGCCATTCTTTCTTGTCCTTGACCTCGTGAGAGATGGAGCCGGAGGGAGGCCGGTGAAGGCGGACGGCGGCGGTGGAGAAGGAACGGAGATGACCTCGTGGGAGGCCCATTGCGCGAGCGCAAGGGAGCGGCAGTGTCGGAAGGGTGTTGGCCTTGATGATGCGGCAACGAGACGGCGATGGGTGAGCGGGGTAGTGGTGGCGGATGCGTGAACTCTTCGCCGCGGACACTGCATTGCGCAAGACGGCTACATTTGGCAGTAGAACGTCGATCCCTCCTCCCCGCCCAGGCACACCGCCGACCACGCCTTCCCCTTCTCTGCCACAGTGCCACCAAGCTGCTCTCTGCCACAACTGGAGCCGCGACCACCTCCTTCGAATCCCCTCAAGCGGAAGATGGGCACCGGGGCAGATGAGCGCGGCGACGGCGGAGGGCGGCCGGCGGCTGAGAGCGGGCTCGGGGAATCGGGTACTCAGGTGGTCTAGTGCAGGGCAAGGCAATGATCCGTTTCGATCTGGGGTGGCCTGTTTGGAGCCAAAATTTATGAAAGGCCCAAGTCATGATTTTGGTTAGCATTTGGTTGGCTACTAAAATTTATCAACTTCTTATATTTAGTTTATTAAATCTTTGGCAACTTTTTTACCTAATTTTTGTTACCAAATCTTTAGTATGATAAATTTTAGTCACCAACCAAGCAGGTCCTATTTTTTTTTTTTTGAATTAAGTAAGTTGAATCAACATGCTCATCCTAGTTTTTAAAAAAAAAATTACATGGTACAACGCAAACGCTAACAACACATGCACATTCACCTAAGAACATGTAACAAAAATCAAATATGTGTCAGGTACCAAATTTGGTATATATATTTGCATCTAATCGTATGTACCATGTTCTTGAAATGGAATAAAAATTTAAAGTATAGGTACCAAACATGTTGTTGCTAATTGGATGCGTGATACAAGGTTACATAAGGTCACCCTTATATATTGGGCCCTGATGGCACTTAGGGGGGGGGGTTGACACCGTACCTGACCTTCATTCACCTCAGGCCTCGATCTAGTGACATTGTGTGATTTGGCATCCGCAACTACACCCTAGCAGGTGCGGCGCCTATGGGTCTAGACGTCATCCCTACTCATACTTATTATCTTCTATCTCTGGCATCTTCTTGGCTTGTATAGCTACAAAATTTGTAGGGGAGGCTTAGGTGGGCTCCATGTTCCTAGGAGCGGTAGAGGCCTTGAGACCCACCTGATGTGTTGCTTCCCTACATCCTTCACAAGATATTTCATCAAATTCATGAGATGATGAACTTATAATGCACCACTTCATATAGGATGGAGTGCATTGTCATCTATTGCCTCCTCGCTTTTTGTTTGATTCATAGAATAAATTAATCGATTTATTATCGCTTCATATCTTATGAGCTAATAATTAGTACAAGGAATGTTGTTCTAGAGAAGAAAAAAAACGATGAACTGATGATAGATCACCTAATGTAGGATGATGTGTTTTCTCAAACTAACTACCCCCTTAATAGTATAACTAGGTTAGATTAATTTACATTTTGTTTGTTGGTGATTAAGCTACATATTAGGCTAGTACCCATAATATCAAAATTATAGCCCTTTTAATTTGTGCCTAAGTCAAACTAATCTAACTTTAACCAATGACTTTACAGAAGAGTAGATATCAACATCTAGCGCATTAAACAATCTTTATTAAATCAATCATAAAATATGTATTGATAGTACATTTATTCGTATTGTAAATATTAGTATATTTATTTATAAACTTGATTAAATTTAGAGAAGTTTACCTTACGACAAAAAATGGCATATAGTTTGGAGCGGAGTTAGGGAACAGTGTTTGCCTAACCGCGTTTGTCACATATCTTCGAGTGTATCACCGAGTATTTTTTTATTAAAGTTTCACGTAATGGAATTAGTGGTATTTTTAGAGGAACATGATTCAAGACTAACGACAATAATCTTTTTTCATGTGGAGTGGACTATAAATATATTGAGTTCTGACCAGACGCTTGGCCACTCAAATTCGAGTTGTCTCATCTACATTGGGGGACCGGGTGAGAAGTTATAATAGTGCACAAATACAGTGGAAAACATATGACCCCACAACCAACTTCTTAGCAGCGCTTTTTGTAAAAGAAAAAAAAAGACAGCATGTACCTAATAAGAAAAAACATGCCATTCAAATCAACTGACAACCAAACCTTTTTCCCGCAAATAAAATGCCATTCAAATCAACTGACAACCAAACCTTTTTCCCGCAAATAAAATGGGGGAAAAATACGAAGCCCTATTTTTGGGCCCTTTTGACCACCATCCGATGATCCATTCCACCCAGCTGCACGTCAAAGTACAGGCAATCGCGGTGGGCCACGGAACAAACCCAAGCAGCGCGCGGCCCCACTCGCAGCTGGTCCCGGCGCAAAAGCAAACAAACCCTAGCAAGCCGGACCCGGACCCTCCCGCTGATCCGGTGCGCCCGGTCAAACCCCAGACCGCCCCTCCAGTGCAGCCGGTCACGCTCCCCCAACCCCTCTTCCCCCCACCCAACCGGACCTCCCCTCCTCCTCCTGGCACCTCGCCGGAGCCCCGCGCCCCCCCGCCGTCGCGCGCCCCCGCCTCCCTCGCTCAGACCCCCTCCTTACCGTCCCCTCCGCCTCCCTCTGCTCCCCTTATCCATCCTCGAGCTCCCCCGCCGCGTGGATCGCCTCGGCCCATTTTGCTCCTTTTTTTTACCTCCCCGCCCGAGCGTTAGCTGGCGGGCGGATGTACGTGTCCTGGCCGGAGACGGAGATGCCTCTGGCTTGACGGATTGATCTCGGGGAGCCGCCCTTAGTGGCCGGCCGCCCTCGGCCCCGCCGCGGCGGCCATGGACATGGAGAGAGGGGCGGGCAGCGAGCAGGGCTCGCCCGATAGCGAAATGGGCGACGGCGACAACGACAGCGTCGGCTACGGCGCGGAGATGGAGGTGGACGCCGGGAGCGGCTCGGCCGGGGCCTCGGCTCCGGCGAGCTCGGCATCCGCATCGGCCTCGGTCTCCGCGTCGGCGTACGCCGCGCGTGCCGGCGCCTACGACGGGGTCGACCCTTTCGAGGGCATGGAGTTCGACGACGAGGAGGACGCCTGGACGTTCTACAACGTCTACGCCCACCGCGTCGGCTTCAGCACCCGGATTAGCGTCATGCACCGGTCGCGCCGGGACGGCTCCGTCATGTCACGCCAGTTCGTCTGCGCCAAGGAGGGCTTCCGCACCTACCGCGGGAAGAATGAGGTTTCCCGTGTTGATGCCGTAGACGCTGGCGACGACGATAGTGGGAGGGGTCGGCGGACACGGGCTGTCACCAGGGTTGGCTGCAAGGCCATGATCCGGGTGAAGAAGCAGGACAATGGCCGCTGGAGTGTGACCAAGCTGGAGACTGCACATAACCATCCCCTGGTCCCTGCGAACCAGGCACACTGTCTGCGCCCGCACAAGCCACTGTCAGAGTGTGGGAAGCAGCGGCCTTTTGGGGGACATCGAAATGGCGGTTCGCTTCTGGCACTTGAGCCACCACCACCGCCTCTTACGCCGTCTGTGCCTCACACAAGCATAGCTCAAGTGGTTCCTCAGTATGTTTCGGATGGTATTGGGAATGGCACTAGAGTAATTTTGGATTATGTAAAGCACATGCAAGCTGAAGATCCGGCGTTCTTTTATGCCATGCAATTTGTTGAGGGGCGTCCAGTGGGGAATGTGTTTTGGGCCGATGCGAGGGCTAGGACGGCATACAAAGACTTTGGAGATGCCGTTGTCTTGGATGACTACTGCAAAAGGAGCAAGCATGAACTTCCACTTGTTACTTTTACTGGAGTTAATCACCATTGCCAGCCAGTCCTATTTGGTTGTGCCATCATGGCACATAACAATGAAGCATCATTTGTTTGGTTGTTTGAGACATTTCTCTTAGCAATGTCTGGACAGCAGCCTACCTGTCTTACCATGGAGCATGATAATTCTTTAAAATCAGCTGCTTTGAAAGTATTTCCTCTAACTAGGCTCCAGTTTTGTAAGTGGCACATCATGAACGAAGCACAGGATAGGCTGTCATATCTCCTAGATGCATTCCCATCCTTCCGTGAGGCCTTTATCAATTGCATCAACATGTCTGAGACAATCAATGAGTTTGAAGCAAATTGGAAGGCATTAATTTCTAAGGTCAGCTCTCAAAAAAGTGAATGGCTTGACTTGGTGTACAATTGCCGTCATCAGTGGGTCCCGGTGTATCTGAGAGATACATTCTTTGGGGATGTGTCATTAAAGCTGCAGTGTTCAAGCAGGAGTTCGTTGTTTGAAGGTTATATCAGTGCCAAAACTGATTCGCAGTCATTCATTCAGCAGTATGAAAAAGCTTTAGACTGTTGTTATGAGAAGGAGGTGAAGGAAGAATTTGAAACAAAATATTCACTTCCTGATATCAAGACATCATCTCCTATAGAAAAGCAAGGAGCCGAGTTATATACAAGGTCGATGTTTTTGAAATTCCAACAGGAGTTGATTGATGCCTCTGTTTACACTGCTGAAATGGTGAAAGAGGAGGGCAATGCTTCAATTTATACAGTGACCAGATCTGAAGGAAGTGAGAAGTCTGTAACAGTTGAGTTCAGTTCTTCTGGAAGTTCTGCGACATGTAGCTGTCGGATGTTTGAATATTTTGGTATTGTCTGCAGGCACATGCTTACTGTGTTTGGTGTAAGAGGTGTCTCTGCACTTCCTTCTCATTATTTTGTAAAAAGATGGACAAAGAATGCATTGGATAGAAGCTCAGGCAAGAATGTTGATGAAGTTAGCAGAGTTGAGGAGCCCAAGGAGGAGCAAAGAAGTAGCGCTGAAGATGATGAGCAATCCCTGACGTGGCGTTACAACAGTTTGTGTCGTGAAGCACTAAGGTATGCTGAAGAGGGAACATCATCATTAGAGGTTTATATTGTCGCGATGCAAGCTCTTCAAGAAGCTGCTAACAGGGTTAATATGGCCAAGAGAGGTATTGGACAGGTAGCACCATTAGCGGTGATGCCAATTGCAGCACAACCACCAGAAAGTTTTGCAAGAAATCAAGAGATTAGTTCTAATAAGCAAAAGAAGAGAAAAAGGAATTCAAATAGCTCAAGGGAGAACGCCACATCAAATCAACTTATGTATGTGCAACAACCTGTTAATTTTCTTTTTGTTGCTCCTGGTTCATCAAGTGCTTTACAAGGGCCTAGTCAGCTAGTTGCTGCTGCTCCTGTTTCTTTGAGTAGCAAATATGGACAAACATCTGGTGCGAATAATTCAGTTGATGACAATATACCTCCTGCTTCTGTAGTTGATAAGTTTTCTGGGTTACCTGACCGAAATGCATCAGCACCTTCAGCTGGAAATCTGCAAGGTGGAGAAACAAAATCCATAGGGGCCGATTCACGAATAAAAGAGGTAGTTTACTTTTGCTATGCTGACCACCGAAAGTTCATTAGTTCATACTATGCATATTTTCAAATGTTCTATTCTAGCCAGTAGTTTCATTTCATTTAAATCTACAATTATGCTACTTTCTTAAAGTTACTTGTAATGATTCTTCGCTAGAGCGCTGATAAACACTTCTGCTTGAGGTTTTCTTGCTACGAAATATAGCTAGTAGCAAATGATTAGAATACCTATGGATGCATGATTGTTGTGACAAATCCAAATTAAGTGGGCACTGGGTGGGTTTGGTATTTTATATCAGGATATCAGTGCATATTAGTTATTTCCGTCAGGTCACCCCCGTATCCATCCCATATCGGATACGTATCTTACGTGGGATATGGCATGAAGATGTCTCCATTGGTTGGGGGGGGGGCGTAACCAAGAGCAATTCCGATACGTGGGCGGGAGACGTACTGAGGCGTTTTCTGGATATGGCCCAGTCCAGTAACCCTCGATTCATGCACCCCACGCAGTGGGCACCTAGGCTGCCAGTGGTACAACACGCTCGCCGCTGCCCGACCGACTGACTTCCTGCTCACCCAGCCATCTGCCGTCCTGTCCGCGAGGAGATCCAATGCCCACAGCATGCTCAAGCAGGCTGCGGCTGTGATGACACACACCACCCGCAAGGCGCACGCCACAAATTTGTGGACGCCTCATGCACACAGCGCCTCAACGAGCTTCACCACCCACCGGCGATTAATCAACAGCGAGCTGGGGATGAGTTAGCGGTGATTTCTTCCCTATTTCCTCTCCTCTCCTATAGCCTCTTCCTGCCGTGTTCCCCATGTCAAATTAATCTCGACTGAACTGGAATTGAAAGGGGAAAGAAATTAGATCAGTGATTTACTCATCTCCTCCAAGCCTGAAACCTCGCCCAAGTAAAAAGTGATGTACTTAGTTGAATCCTTCATCGATTGGACAAGTTCTACTTCTGCACTATGCGCATATATGTTCTCATTTGGATTTTGCAAGTTTGGCCTTTGAGATTTGGATGGAGATGCTGGGCAGGCTTGGCTCTTGGAGTGTTGGCTAAATGGAAATATGGAAAAGATGAGCAGAACAACACATTTGCAAGAATGAGGCAATTTTAAGTTCCTGCTAGTGTGTTATGGCTTTTAGAATTTTAATATGACTTTATTAAAAAAAACTAAAAATGTAACCACATGTCTTTTTTTTAGAAACTGACATATCCCCATATCTGTATCCTTGCTGCATAGATGGCATGTTTGCCTGGTAACTGTCTGCAGTGGGGTGTGTGAGAATTATGGTATTCTTACCACTTTTAGTTCCAGGGCTGACATTTCAAAAATGTTGCATGCCATTTATTGCAGTTGTAGCATCTCTTTATCTTTTACTTTAGGGTAAATATTATTAGCTCATGCGACTCTCAATCTTTAGGGGAAAGAGATCGTTTGATGTCTTCAATTGAGCCAAATTGTTATTAGATGCAAGCCTGTAATATGGTTTTCTGACATCTTATTGGGTATTGTATGGGCCCCTTTCAGTTGCATCGTTCAATCAAACATTTTATCTTTGGTCCTCTGTGATAAGGTGATTACCTTTGCATAAGAACTTAGTGCAGCAGTTTAGTTCCCAGTTATTACTGATAGAGACTATAAAATTCCTTATTATAAGCCTCAGCTTACATCTTAGTTTAGCTGCAATAGCTTCTTTTCCACTCGTTGTCATCAGTAGCTTATATTTCCTTATTCCATGTACAGAATGATTGCAATTTCAATCATAATGTGCTTCACTAGCTTCAGGTTCCTAACAAGTCTTTATGGAATCTGCAGAGCCATGAATTATCCCAAGCTAATGGTAGCAGGGGATGCAGTGTAAATACATTAAACTCCAGTGCTGTGCCACAGCTTGTGACTGTTCCTATTGGATTGTGCCTTCCGTCCACTGATGGCCCCAAGATATCTGCGGGTATGTGGGATTTTACTTTGCTACTCAAATCTATAAACTGTTCCAAACATCGTATCCTAGTTCTGTTTGTACATATCATAATTTGTACAAGTTTATGCCTGAACCTTTTCTTAAGCTGTGGCTGTAGCTGTAAGCCCTGCTTCCCAGGCACATTTAGTGTATTTAAGTTTTTAGTTAATCTATGTCATTAAGTCCTTGGGTAGCCCAAGAGTTGTGCGGGTACCCAGGCAGATATTCTGTCTAGTTAAAGCTCTAGTGAGCTGTATGTAATCAATGCAGTACTTATCCTCTATATATTGCAATGCAGTCGCCTGGGAGAGTTGCCCTGGCTGATTATTTCTCTGTTAACTCCAACAGTGGCTGTGATATATATGAGACATTTTCTTTTTTTCTAAAAGCTATTGCATATATAATAATCGATTTTACTAACGAGGTCATTTTGACATTACTTTTGATGCAGCTGGTATGAACTCTGTAAATTCTGGAGATATCAGTAGCAACGGCAAATTGTCATTTGGTCAATCTCAGTCATCTGCACAACAGCCAGCTACACCATCACAGACAAAGACGCTTGGCCGTATTGATTCTCGTGCAAATCCTGAGGGTTCATCTATAAGGGCTGCAGCCATTGCAGCCGGTGCACGCATAGCATCACCATCTGATGCAGCTACAATCATAAAAGCGGCTCAGTCAAAAGGCGCCATCCACATCAGGCCTGGGGAAAACCTCCCAAATTACCTGAAACCACTAGCACCAAAGCCGCTTTCCTCACTACCACCAGTGAACCCACTCAACTTGGCACATGCATCCCCAGGACAGCTCAGCTTTGGTGATTCTGCAGCTGCCAAGGACGCAATCTTCGGTTCCTCGGATGGCAGTGACGACGATGAGGAAGACACTGATGACGAGGAAGACACAGATGACGACGAGGACGAGGGGCTGATTGGCGACGACGCAGAACATGAATGATCTTCTCTCCCTGCACTAACCCTCCCCTAATGGCTTGTGAGGTGCTGATCTTTAACAACCTCTTCACCAATGGAATCTCTTAGAGCATAGCTGTATACATGTTTATAGCCTGTATTTAAGATCCCAGCTGTCACCTCCATGAGCCTAGAATTCTTCCTTGATCTCTCTCTCTCTCTCTCACTTAGCATGCCTAGAAGCCCCACTTGTTTAACCTAATGACAAACATCCATCTCATTTGATCTTCTTCCTTTCTTTTTTTGTTGGCTCCTGGTGAGGTTGGTGGGTCTGATGGTCAGTTCACATGTGTAGCTGGTTAGCTGTATTATGTACAGCATGAGTTGTATGCTGGTGAACTGCTTTCAACAGTCCAAAGTTTTGTACCCTGTTTTTCTCTCGCTGGAAAGAGATTTGTTGGATTTGAGCTCACAGACCACATGTCCATTGACTTGGCTTGGAAGAGTGGCTGGTTTGTCGCTGGAAAAAAAAAAATTGATTCTTTGATCATGACATGCTCCTGCGACTAGCGGAGTTGACGAAATTGTTTATATACATTTGTTTCGTTTAATTGGTAGTGTGTCGCTGTCTGATGCCTTCTGCTGACGGGGCTGCGCGTCAGCCAGATCCATTTGTTTTGAGATTCATTCATGGCGTGTCTGGGAGGTCAACTTTTGTCTGATTAATAACATGTTGGTAAGAGCACGCGATTCGGAGTACTGACTAATGCATTTGGCAGCACCAGCAAACTTCAAACCGGCTCCTTGAAAACGTTCCAGTAGTGTGTTTGACATTAACCATGGTCCTTGAAACGTGACTTGGACACCCGATTAAAAAAAAACTCGACCTGCGGGGTGTTAGACAACACTCGGGCATTGGGCTTAAGAAGAAGACCTTCTCTAGCAAGTCGAGAAAACCTCTCACCCATACACAACGGCACCGCAGCTCCCATGAGACTGGACTAACCTTAGACCTGTGTTTTGGCGTGGAGTTCCCGAGAGGATTCGAACTCTGACCGACAGGGTGCAAAGCGCATAGCTAGACCAAACTGGTCTAGCATTCGCTTGCTTGGACACCCGATTAAGTAGTAGAAGTTGCAAGTTGCAACGTCATGATCCCATTAATCATAGGCCGATTAAGAAAAATATAGTAGATTGTTGAGAGAAAAAAGTTGCAACGTCATGATTCCATGAGAGGAAAAACAAGCCAACAAGCCAGCCGAACACGCCCCATATATGCTAATTCTGAATGAGCGTCAAGAATCTATACTGAGCTCGCACGGTTCTTTTCCCAAGCAGAGCACGAGTGCACGACGAGGGCACGACCTCCTCAGACACTGGTGCTGTTTGGTTCTGCATATTTGTCCCGTTAGGAGAGGTTTGCAACGTCATGAACCCGCTAATCATATTCTAATTCTGAATGGGCGTCAAGAATCTCAAGACTGAACTCGTATGGTTCTTTTCCAAACACGATGCACGACTTGTCTGGGCCTTTTAGGAGGGTGGACAAACAAAGCAAGCCTATTGCATTGCAGCATGTCATCCGTCGACCACCAACCCCCGGAGGTAGGAGCACCTACCATGGCCCCCATTTTGTCCTCATTGGTGGGCCCCGAAGTGGCCAAGTGGGGCGCGTCATGTCTAGTGTAGTTCTGAGGATGATGATGGTCCAGCAGTCCAGCTCCAAGCTCCAATCTATGATCGAGATACCTTTGTTGGTTCAGCCAGGAAGACAATGCGCATACACTCATGCAGTGTGATGTAAGCCTCTTCAAGAAAAAGAGTAGCTGGATGGAGCTTTCATGGTTGGTGGGGGCTGGTGGAGGCCGGGGAGATGCTCCTACTACCCCTACTCTCACTCCACTTGGGGTTCAGACAGTGGCATAATCAGTAACTTTGATTAAGAGATGCTGGACAAACCTCGTGATGACATCTTATAAGTATGATAAATATTTGATAAGTGTATGTGTCTTATCAATCTTTTCAATGTTTTTACATATGTAATTAGTATTCATAAAAAATCACAACATTATGTTAAAAGATGAGTAAAAATGGATAAAATGTGATGTCCATTGAAATATTATAAGGATATTTTTTAAAAATTACTGTTTTAGGGGGGGGGGCGTTCCTCCAGGTGGGTTCAGGGATGGTTGGAATTGGAGTGTCGGCCGGGGGGTGCACATCTGTGTTTTGCGCTGACAGAGTGTCGCGATTGGCCCCTCATAGAAGATGAATTTAGATCTGTGTTTTGCGCTGACAGAGTGTCGCGATTGGCCCCTTATAGAAGATGAATTTAGATTGTTCGGGTTGTCCTATAGCCCTTGGCGAAGGTAGTATCTATCTTGAGCGTATTCATCGGAGAACATCAAGGCAACCAATGAAGAGTGATGCGGTAAAGAATTGTCAACAAGAGCATGCTCCATCCGTTCTGTAATATAGTGCATTTTGGCATTCAAAATTTGTCCTAAAATATAATTCATTCTTAGAGAACAAAAACCAATTTTACATTTAATACTTTCCATTTATCAACCAATCATCATTAATCATATCGATGATAGCATCTGATTAGAAAATAAAATGAGGGCTCATGTGTCTCTTAATTTGTCTTAAAATTTTTAGAATGCAATATATTACAGGATAGAGGGAGTATTCTAGTGAACTACTTTATAGTTTGTTATCCAAGATTTGTAGTACCATCTTTTACTGATTAGTCTTCTGTTTCCTCTTACATTTATCCCTGAGAAAAAAATGAAGAAAAAGATGGAGAATCCATCCATTAAGCATGGACTTCATCACATCATCTGTCCTGCTAAGCATGTCTCATTGGCTCGCGTAGCGACTTTTTTTAATATACCATTTAAGATTCCATTTTCTACAATTCGCTGCTTGCCAGTTGGGCCTTGTTAATTCCCCTCTGTAAAATCAAAAATTAAATCTCCATTTGCGTTCCATTAGTTGGCATTCGCTGTGTAGACTACAACAGCAAAAGTCAGCCTGTTGCTGCTTTCATTTTCCTTAGGTAATGTTTGGCAAATGGGTTATGAGAGGTGGGTTTTGAAAAAGAAATTGATGAATGGCTAGGATTAAATGAGGTGTGAATAATGAATTGTTATGATACAATATTACCTTTGGAGGGTGGGATATCATTTCCCTATCCCATTTGCCAAACATCGTCATACATGGATGTGACAACTGCTAGCACGGTTGTTCAGATTCATATGGTGCACTCGCTTGCCATTCTAAGCCAAATTTCCTAATTAAAACGAGAAGATTTTTTCTGAATAAAAAACACGAAGATTTTTACCACTCGTATTATAGAAAAATTGAATGTTTCACATGAAATTGTCCTAAGGCGGAGGCACATGTAGATTTTGCCAGTATATTTGGGTTTGTTTTTGCCTATAATCAATTTATTTATAATTGTCGAATCATGAGGTTTTTTCTAATGCTTGATTTTCGATCGTGCTCGTTCAAAATTTTTATGTAGCAGCTAGAAGAAGAAGAAGAAATAATCACAACAAACATTTTTTTTTCAAAAAGAAATCTCAGGCACCAACGGATTTGTCATATGGGAAATGGGATCTCACCAAATCCCCTATAATCAATTTATTTATAATTGTTGTATCATTAGGTTTTTTTCAATGCTTGATTTTCGATCGTGCTAGTTCAAATTTTCCATGTAGCAGCCAGAAGAAGAAGAAATAATCGAAATAGACATGTTTTTTTTAAAGAAATCTCAGCCACCAACGGATTTACGGATTTGGCAGATGGGAAATGGGATGTCACCAAATCGCCATAGCGCGCACCACCTAACACAGAAGATGGATGGATCCTTTATAAATGAAACCCTCAAACACCTCAGATTTCCCGTGCCCCTCATCACCACCCACCTATCAGTTCACCCCGTCGTCCTCGGCGCGGCGCCACCCCCCTCCTCGTCCCCCGGCGCTACTACCCCGCTCCACGGTCCAAGGGTAAGCGCGCCTCCCCACCGCCCCTTTGCTGTATATAGCCCCTCACACTCGCCCGCTCGCCCGTTCCCTCGCTTCCGCTGTCTCCCCCGCGCCTCTCGGATCGCCTCGGCGCGCGGTGAGTCTGTCTGTCGTGCTATTGGGCCGCTGTTCGTGTTCTTCCTCTCTGTGCAGTCTGGATAACTGGATTCGTAGCCATTGCCTCCTTCCTTGTCGAGGTTGCTGCACTGCACCACGCTGTGGGGAATTGGTGGTTTTTTGGTCGTGCAATGGTTGTCTGAATTGTTGGGTTGCTCTTTTTATGTACGTGCATATGTCGTTGAGATCGCTGCTGGGTTACTACGGGATTATCCCTTTTGTTTTTCGAGCAAATGTTTTGTGTCATAATTATATGAAATTCATCATGGTGTTTTGATGTGATTTGAGTGGACTAGCATGTAGCATCTCAGATCCCAGAATTTTGTTAGCACCAGAACACGCTGTTAATTTTTAGATCGTTTCCGAATGACGGGCTCTTCATATCCTTAGATCTGCTGAAATATCCTTAGATCTGCTGAAACATTTATAATTTCTCGTATTCATGTATGTATGATCCGAAAGTAGGTTGGTAGTTTCACTGAATGGACAGTGATGATTTTATACCGATGAATCTGTTTTCAGCAATTGTAGTTTAATATAGCATGCTTCCTGTAGAACTGTAGAAGTGCACTTCTCTAATTTATTATCCGAACTATAGTTTCTTATGGATGTTATTTGTAGCATGATCCCTGCATGTCTGAGAGGGACCTTGCTTCCTTTCAGACCGATTTTAGCTCTCCTGTATCCACATCCTGGAAAAGCTAGGTTGCAGCCTAAATGGAGGACTGTAGTACATATATCATACCTCCATGGTATGGTTAATCCTTCCCAGTTTAAACAAACAGCGTTGATTGACCAGAGGTATTTCTTTGCAATGAAGCATTTAGATCTTATGGGAGGAACACATGCAGAATGAATTTAGAGTTTCACATGGGAGGAGAAGAATTGAGTTCAGTTTATGGTTCAGTGAAATATACGGAATATTTTTTTAGCTTATTTGCAGCTTTGTTGAGACAAATATTCAGCTAGCTTCCCTGTTGCTGTGCTGATTTTAACCTTTTTCTGTTATAGAAAGATGGCGTCCCATATTGCTGGATACCCTCGCATGGGCCCCAAGAGGGAGCTCAAGTTTGCCTTGGAGTCTTTCTGGGATGGGAAGAGCAGCGCCGAGGATTTGGAGAAAGTTGCCACTGACCTCAGGTCTAGCATCTGGAAGCAAATGTCAGAAGCTGGGATCAAGTACATTCCCAGCAACACCTTCTCGTACTACGACCAGGTCCTTGATACCACAGCCATGCTTGGCGCTGTCCCAGAGCGCTACTCTTGGACTGGAGGCGAGATTGGCTTGAGCACCTACTTCTCAATGGCCAGGGGAAATGCCAGTGTCCCTGCTATGGAGATGACCAAGTGGTTTGACACAAACTAGTAAGTAAACTTCTGTTTCTTGAATGCTTACTGCTGGTGGCTTTTTGTGGTATTGGTCTAACATTTTTTATTACCTTATTCTTTGCAGCCACTTTATTGTCCCTGAGCTTGGCCCAAGCACCAAGTTCACATACGCTTCACACAAGGCTGTCTCTGAGTACAAGGAGGCAAAGGCGGTATGTTGCTGTAACAACAGATACTCTCAGCTGTTTGTAATTTAGTTCATTTACCCTTCTCATCATAGTTCGTTTGTATGGCTGCATGGTTTAGTATCAGGGAAAAAAAATGCAGCAACCGACATTTATGTCTCCCAGCTATTTAAATATGATTGGACATATATTATTTGCTTAGAACACACTTCCTTTTGGTAAAAGAACTTCAGCTGTACTGAACCTATGGCTTATTTGAATCCTTGACTGCTTTGATGCCTTCAAGACGTTCCATAACATTGAAGTAAATTATAAGTTAACCCACTGCCTTTGCAAGCCTTATTGGAAGTCAAAGATGGACAATCTTGGAACACACTGACTTTGCCATCTTGACAGTAATATATAACTATCACAAAACTATCTTCTTGTTCAACATTGCGTAATAGCAATATGATAGGATCCCCTGCAGATGTTGGTGATTTTCACCCTGTAAAGGAAGGGCCATGCTATTTTCTTTTATGAAAAATAATGCCTGCAAACTTATGTTTTTGCCACTCATGCAGCTCGGCATTGATACAGTCCCAGTGCTTGTTGGACCAGTCTCATACTTGCTCCTCTCTAAGCCTGCCAAGGGTGTGGAGAAATCGTTCTCTCTTCTTTCACTTCTTGGTAGCATTCTTCCCATATACAAGTAAGCATCCACACAAAGCAGCCAACGTTTTTTTTCATCATGATCCTCGTTAATTGATAATGTGATATGAAACACAGGGAGGTTGTTGCTGAGCTGAAGGCAGCTGGTGCTTCTTGGATTCAGTTTGATGAGCCTACCCTTGTTAAAGACCTTGCTGCTCATGAACTGGCTGCATTCTCTTCAGCATATGCTGAACTGGAGTCAGCATTCGCTGGATTGAATGTGCTTATCGAGACATACTTTGCTGACATTCCTGCTGAGTCCTACAAGTATGTTTTTTATTTTTAACATAATCTTCGCCATGGTCTTCCTTTCAGAGTAATATTGTTGAGAAAGAAAACTGAAAACTCATTTCTTTTGCAAATGCAGGACCCTCACGTCATTGAGTGGTGTGACTGCTTACGGTTTCGATCTTATCCGCGGAGCCAAGACCCTTGATCTTATCAGGAGCAGCTTCCCCTCTGGGAAGTACCTCTTTGCTGGTGTTGTAGATGGACGCAACATTTGGGCTGATGATCTTGCTGCATCTCTTAGCACTCTTCAGTCTCTTGAGGCTGTTGCTGGCAAGGGTAAGCATTGAAGGATATACTGTTATTTATCTGTTCCCTTTGTCTGTATGTTGTTCGGTAACCAAATACATGATGTTCAGACAAACTTGTGGTGTCAACCTCCTGCTCACTGATGCACACCGCTGTTGATCTTGTAAATGAGACTAAACTGGATGACGAGATTAAGTCATGGCTTGCATTTGCTGCCCAAAAGGTTGTTGAGGTTAATGCCCTTGCCAAGGCTTTGGCAGGCCAAAAGGATGAGGTATGGCACTGTTTTGTACTCTTCATTCTTCTGAGCCTCTTTAACTTGACTGATTACTCTCATTCCGTACCTCAATAACTTACTATTGGTATAATGTTGAACATGTTCGCCTACAGGCTTACTTTGCAGCCAATGCTGCTGCTCAGGCCTCAAGGAGATCATCACCCAGAGTGACAAACGAGGAGGTCCAAAAGGCTGTAAGTAACATTGATCTTTATTGAATATAAATGCTTGTTTTTTTATGTTAATACGCACCAATTCTAAACCAGAAATGCATTTCATACAGGCAGCTGCTTTGAAGGGCTCTGACCACCGCCGTGCTACCACTGTTTCTGCTAGATTGGATGCTCAGCAGAAAAAGCTCAACCTTCCTGTCCTTCCCACAACCACAATTGGTTCATTCCCTCAGACTGTGGAACTCAGGAGGGTCCGCCGTGAGTACAAGGCAAAGAAGTAAGTGTTTATAGAGATATTATTACTGTTATATCTTTATCGTTTTCTTTTTATTACTGAAAATGTGTCTTTGCAGGATCTCTGAGGAGGAATACATCAGTGCCATCAAGGAAGAAATCAGCAAGGTTGTCAAGATCCAAGAGGAGCTTGACATTGATGTGCTTGTGCATGGAGAGCCTGAGGTGAGCATTTTAGTGTAATGATTTGTTTGTTGTAGACTACCTGCATTAGCTTTTTTTTGTTTATGGATCATTAAAAATAACAAGTTCTTTTAGGATATTGATATTACTGTTTGCTGAAGATGAAACATTTACTTATTTATGTCAATTCCTATGTATTTACAGAGAAATGACATGGTTGAGTACTTCGGTGAGCAATTATCTGGTTTTGCATTCACTGCCAACGGATGGGTGCAATCTTATGGATCACGTTGTGTGAAGCCACCCATTATCTATGGTGATGTCAGCCGGCCGAACCCCATGACTGTTTTCTGGTCCAAGACAGCACAAAGCATGACCGCTCGTCCCATGAAGGGAATGTTGACTGGTCCAGTCACAATCCTCAACTGGTCATTTGTCAGGAACGACCAGCCTAGGTTTGTTACCTCTTCCAATCCGCTTCAATATGCTTTGCGCAGTTGCGCTTCTGTTCCTTCATCTGTAACTGACCCTGCAAAATGAATATAATAAATTATGTTTTGTTGGCGTACAGGTTTGAGACATGCTACCAAATAGCTCTTGCAATCAAAAAGGAGGTTGAGGATCTTGAGGCTGCTGGTATTCAGGTTTGTATCTTCCACTTTTATAAGTTTGTTTTCTAGTTCCTGTTTCATCAATATGTCCATGTGCAACAACACTTTTTTTTTACTCTTTGCAGGTGATCCAGATTGATGAGGCAGCTCTAAGGGAGGGTCTGCCACTGCGCAAGTCAGAGCATGCATTCTACCTGGACTGGGCTGTCCACTCTTTCAGAATCACCAACTGCGGAGTCCAGGACACCACCCAGGTATTAGCCTTGAAATGTTTTGAGATACCTGGAAATCTGTCTTAGAATCTGTACTGATGGTCCCTTTTCTTGGATAGATCCACACTCATATGTGCTACTCCAACTTTAACGATATCATCCACTCCATCATTGACATGGATGCCGATGTGATCACCATCGAGAACTCCCGGTCTGATGAGAAGCTACTGTCTGTCTTCCGTGAGGGTGTGAAGTACGGAGCTGGCATTGGCCCTGGTGTCTATGACATCCACTCTCCCAGGATTCCCTCTACCGAGGAGATTGCGGACCGCGTCAACAAGATGCTTGCCGTGCTTGACACCAACATCCTCTGGGTGAACCCGGACTGTGGTCTCAAGACACGCAAGTACACGGAGGTCAAGCCCGCCCTGACCAACATGGTTTCCGCCACCAAGCTCATCCGCACCCAGCTTGCCAGCGCGAAATGAGTCGTGTGATAGCTCCATGGTTTGTTGAACACAGCCAGCAGGGCCATTTGATTTGAATAATTTGGATCTTACCCCTGTTCCATGGTTAGGTTAGTCTCATTGGTGAGATACACCGTTATATGATGTGTTCTAAGTTTGGAGTGTGTTTACTTTAGGCTGTTTTCTGGGGGTATGTGTGCTTCGGTTATTAAACTGAAATGAAATACCAGTCTTCAAATTGCATCACCAACTGCATTGTCATGTTCTCCTTCCAGAGAGGGAATGCCATGGTATTGCACATGATACATGTAGACATACAATTGTTCCACGCTCTTCACAGTAACACTATATACAGGATAGTGGCACCAACACCCACCAATGCAAGGACCAGGATGAAGCCAAGAACATGCAGCACTTTGATCTTCCTCCACCATCTCCTGTCCTCACCCTTGCCATTGCCATCAGCATCGTCGTTCTTGATTGCATTTTCAGTTGAGTCACCGTCCCCTCTCGGCAAATCTTGTATGTTCATCACTTGATCTTGTCTCGGTTCCTCCATAGCCTGATGATGTTGTTTCTGTTCCTTGTCTTCGACCTTGCCGTTCCCTGGATCTTCTTGGGCGCTCCACATGCTGCCGACGCTGCTGCCTGATGAGGCATCGTCCGCAGTATCCGCCCTCATCAGCTCTTGGAGAGACTGTGAGCGCTCAGGGTGATGTTCTTTCTGCTTGTCCTTGGACGATGTGGATCCCTTGGGCAGGATGACGAACAGCTGGGCGCTCTCAGTGTTCAGCTTGGCCTGGATGGTGCCGGCATCGCAGCTCCTGGGGACCGGGAACACCTTGAGGAAGCGTGCCCACTGGCCGCCGTCGACCTGGCGCTCGCCGGTGACCTTCAGCTTGGGCACGCCGTCGGCCTGGCGCTCGCCGGTGACCTTCAGCTTCCGCCGGGTTTTGTACAGGACCTTTAGCTCCTCCTTCCTGAACCCTGGATGGAAGAGACCGTTTGTTCAGAAGACGCAGGCGACAGGCTCTAGTGCAATGTGGAATTTCGTCAGGCGGATCGGAGGTGTTACCTGACACGTCGACGACGAGGGTGTCGGCGTCCTCCGTGCTTGTCCACTCGCACCGCGGGTCCACCGCCGTGTACTCGCGACGGCGTGGCGGTGGAATCGGCGGCGCGGCTGTTGCCGGCATGACGGGGGGGCTGTGCTGATGACCCAGGCTTTTCAGTGTTTCGAAGGAAGAATGGCTACGTGTTACGAGTTACGACAGAGGAACGAGGGTAATCCTGCCATTGTACGCTACAGTAGTTTCAGCTTTCAAATATGTTTTGTGCTCAACAGCGGATTGGTGTTGCCTCCCAGACAGGTTATATGGTAATTGCTGTTGCTAGGCAACTCCTTGCTTTGCTTCAGCTAGTTGCAGATGTCTTGCTTCAGTTCCAAGGTGTACCCCTTTGCTTGAAGTACTTACAGTGGTGAAGCAGACATCGTCTGTGGACATAACCCCTACACCAATATTTTTTTTTAAAAAGATAAAAGCACACTTTAAAAGCGTCTCTCTCTCTCTCTAAATTTTCCTTGCGGCCACCATGTCATCTGAAACTGGCACCGATTTGAAACATCATCCTAAGACCTAAGTGAAGGCGGATTTCTGATCATGAAGCCACCGCGACCTTCGAATTCGAGCTTGACGACGGGGTCACATGGCAGCAGCAAGAGGAGACTTCTGTTCTGATGATCACGCTCTTGGCGTGCTCAACGCCTCTGTTCTCGCGGGCGTCGTGCTCTGCTGGTTCGTGCTGCGGCGAGGGGACTGCCGCTGGCGACGCTGGAATAGGGGGAGGCCACGCAGTTTCCATAACATCGGGCAGTTTCCATGACATCGGGCATCGGGGGTTTCGGCCACTGTTAGGTGACAGCTTCCACGAGCGCAACCCGATCGGCATCGGGGGTTTCGGCAACATGTACCGTGGTTCGCCGTGAAGCGTGCCACACGCTCCTCGCGGCAGGTGCTTCTTCCCCGACTTCCGGACGGGGATCGCGGTGCTGTCTCGCATCCGGCACCGGAGCCACCTGTACGACTCGGGGTCCAAGGAGCCACCGGTGTCGTGGACGCAGCGGCCGGAGTTTTGCATCGGCGCGGCGAGGGGCCTGCACACCGGGCTACCCCGAGAACATCATTCACCAACATCCTCCTCGGCGACGGCTACGTCGCCAAGGTGGCCGACTTCGGGCTGTCACGCATCGACCAGCCGTTCTGCGTGGTGCCGGTGATCGAGCTGGGCCGCGATCGGATCAGCAACCACCTCACCGAGTGGGTCGTGGAGTCTGCCAGTCCGGACGAGCATTCAGGTCACAGGCAATTGTGCTAAAAAAGAAAACTTCTACTCACCGGTGGCCAATGTGTGCTTGCTGTCATCTCTTAAATCTAAGTGGCCAATGTGTGCTTGCAGTCTTCTCTTAAATCTGAGCTACGTTCTACAGCACTGTCAATATCACTAGCACAGTTGCACTAACTTAAAAGTGCAATTTTCGTACTCAAACTTTTACATACCTCTAAGAAATATAATACCAATCAATCATATTGTTTTCCGGCACAGATTATCATATCTTTATTTCTATGCAAATGGATGGTACATACTCCTATGATATAAAGGCCTAGTCATACTGGACCACACACTGCTGCAGAGCACAAAATTACAAAGAGAATGAGAGAGAAAAATCAAAGTACACTTATTTCAAAACCACCTTAACAGCACAAAAAAAATAGTAACAGATTAAAAGTGGCTCCTTATTTTAGTTTTTATAGTTGAGAACTTGAAATACAAAGTACACTACATATTTTCAAAACCTTATATATTTGCACCTTGCCTCATTGTTTGCCAAGTTTATTTTCTGGCGACTGGGATGGCTATTTCACTAAGCCTGGTGCTGATATGATCTAACATATTTTTGTTTACCTCAGATTCCTATGTTTAAGATAATGGGTAGAATGGATGTTATGTCACGTTGGCTATTGTAAATCAGACAACCGAGTGCAAACAATCCTTGCATCGGCTTTCATCAACACAAGAAACTGATACAAGTAATGGCAAAGACCATCCACCTATTGAGGACAAAAAACTGCAGAAAACTTCCATGCAGGAACACAAAAGGTCCTAAGATACCTATGGTTACATGCAACCTACATAGTTAAATGTTTGATTGGAACACTGCAAGAGAATTACGAATGAATTCAATAGTTAAATTCCAACAAAGACCAGGTTCTGAGTAATTTAAACCTGCCCAGCACTGATATGAACCCTTCACTGAAAAATGGCAAGACAACATAATCAAGGGATCAAACTGGAACTATGCAATCTCTGTTAAAAAAAACTCACTATCCAACTATAGATATGCATCAGAAGTCAGCAAAAAAACCTTCCACAGAATGCTAATAGGCCTACAGACGAAATCAATGGAAGATACAGACGAAAGCAATGGAAAAGCATAAGTATAACCAAGCATATTGTCATCCTTTTAGATCATCATTGCAGATATAACTGATAACTAGCGTGCAAGATTGCAAGCTAAATTTCAGCTACAACTGAGCCATTCGAAGTACCAAAACTGTCTAATATCTCAATCTCTCTTTTATCATTAATTAGTTCAGCGAATAGAACTTAAACAAGTCGAGTCAAATCGACCAAGAACACATATCGATCAATTACTTGTTCTTCCCGGACTTCTTCTTACCCCCTGCCGCCGCGCCGGCGCTGACCTGGGGGCGCGGGTGGCGCTCGGACTCGGCGGCGTCGAGCCACTTGAGCGGGTTACGGTTGAAGAAGGGCCAATTGGGGACGGTGACGAGCGCCGTGAGCACGACGCCGCCGGCGTAGACGAGCAGCATGAGCTGGAAGTCCGCGCGCACGTAGCCCACCAGGAACGCCGCCACCGCTGACGCCACCAACAGCACCTGCATCAGCATCTCCGCGCGCTTCTGCCCCAGCCAATCCATAATCCTCTGCCAAGAACCCGAGACACAAGAGATCCCAGTGAGATGGATCGGACTCGGACCCAGTACGCTTGAAATTGGATCAGATCCGAATACAAATAGCTTAAGCTAGGGTTTGGGTGCTCGGTTTCGTAAAGGAACGGAAGATAAGGGGTGCGCGTACCTGGTGGGTGCTCGTCGCTGGAGAAGGACCCGGGGATGGAGGCCTGGGGCACCTGACGTAGGGCGGCAGCGGCGACGCCGGCGGTCACCCAGTCGTCGCCACGAGAGAGGAAGAAAGAGCGCACGCGAGTGGAACGGTAGAACCACGAGAGAGAGGTATGCGGGCAGGTAAGAAGAGCATACCAGGGTCCTGGGTCCGGGCCGGCATGGAACCAGGATCCTGCCCAGTTCTAGGATTGAAGGCCCATCGTCATGGGCCAGAGTCAAATCCTCTCATGGGCTAGAAAGTGGCACCGTCGTGGCGTCGTCAGCCACGACGACTAGGTGGCATCGTCAATTTTTTTTTGCTCAAAAAAAAAGGTGGCGTCGTCAAACACATTGTAGGTAGATAAATATAAACAACGGCCAATATTTTCGTCAAATTGATCCATTTGTTGGCACGCGGATTGATCCGCGCAACAACACGATAACTATCGTACTTTCGCGACGATGAGCGACTAATTTTCAGGACAAACTAGCAAAGGAGTTCATCGCTTTCGTGGAGTAGAGCCGACCGTTTTTAGCGCAAAATGGTAAAGATTACCAATCCCTAATAGAGATTAGGGTTCAGCATGTACTGTTGTCCTAAGGTAGAAGAAAGAACAAATAACGATGAAAAATAGTAGATGTATTATGGCCCCGTTTGGCTTATCTTATAATCCGCACTATTCAGCTTGTTTTTTCAGCCGGAATAGTATTTTCTCTCACAACAATTCAGCCAGAACAATGTTTTCAGCCAATTCAGCCAAGTTTCAACAAGCCAAACGGAGCCTATGTCGATTGGCTAGAGATCACAATCTACTGTTTATCCATTATTAAATATATATTCAGCCTGTTCGCTGGTTGGTTTCTGGGCTGATAAGCCCGGCTGGTGCTGATTTGTTGTGAGAGAAAAATATTGTACCATAACTGATAAGCCCTGGCTGAAACCAACAAGCATGAGCATGCCCGGTCTTCGGCAACGGAGTAGGATTCCTGTACATGTACGACAACTATCAAGTATTGTTTGTTTGCTTACAACCAGTGGAGTATCTATATCTATATCTATATCTATATGTACACCTAATAATAATAAAGAGGTAATGTTTCCAACTATTTTTTTTTCTTTCATCCATTCTTTTGGTCCGTCTCTCTCTGGCTACCGAACAATGAAGAGTTTCTTCTATCCAAACTTATATATAATAACCTATGCTGGTACGAATTAAAATAGCTCTTGCCTAGCGAGATACAGAGTCATAAAATAGACACCGGTTCTTAAGGCGAATCCTAATCAAATAGATTCCTCGGCCCCGAGTAAACAAAGAACCTTGTGTAAAAAAAAAACCAAATAACGGCCTATTATTTGGATATGGAATATTTGGTAGGGTCGGCGTGCTGCAACAATGTATTGAAGTCGAATTGTTTAATATCATGTGAAGCACTAAAGGATCAATTATTGACTGGCATTGGATTTGGAAGATTCAAGGTCCTGGTACATCATGTATCACTTATTTTGCTTGACGGCTAATCGTGTTCATACCTACACGTGATTAAAAGGAAATAAGCGAGCAACATAAAATCAACTAGCATCAGCAGTGCTTGTGCCGACTAGAGTCCGTCAGGAACACGTAGTTAGATTGGTCCAAGGTCCATGAAGGAAGTTTGAAAAGCAAAATACAACAGGGATTTGACACCTGCGCCCTGTTCGTTTGGACTGGTTTGGCTTATAAGCTATAACTGAAAGTTCTGTTGACTGATTTAATGTCAGAGAAAAATACTATTCGTTGCCTGATAAGCCATGGCTTATAAGCCAAATACGACCAGGCGAACATGCTCCTGGACGGCTTTGAGCTAGCACGTAGTACGTACTACTGTGATTGAAGAACTCGAGGAAGAATCGTCATACATAGGGAAAGCCTCGATCCTCGGAGCGCCGGAGTCGTTTGTCGCCACCCGCAGGGCGCAGCTCCGCCCCTCGCACTCGGAGTCCCGGATGCCGGTGTTGGCACGTGAAAGTA